GTTATATTTCTTGTTGTCTCATCTAACTAATTTTGGCTTTAAGTTTGCTTTCTCAGTTATGAGTATTCCTACCTTGAATGCTTTTGTGTTCTGTTTATAGGAATATGTCAGCCTGTGTATGTCTTTGCCAGTAATGTGTGTTTCTTGAAGGCAGCAAGAAGTTGGGTCTTATGAAAATCCAATCTGCCAGTCTGTGTCTTGTAATTGGAGAATTAAGACCATTATACATGCACAGTTATCACAGAAAAATATATACTAATTCTTATCATTTTGTTGCTTTTATGATGTTTGATTTTTTCCCCTAATTGTCAATGGGTTATGTACTCTTTCTCTTCTGTATGTATTGTCTACAATGCTGCTTTAGTGGTCATGCATTTCTTTAGTTTATGCTTATCATGGAAGGTCTTTATTTCCCCTTCAACTATCTTAGTAAGTATTTTTTTTTTTTTTTTTGTGGTACCAGGGATCGAACTCACGAGCTCATGCTTGCCAGGCAGGCGCTTACGTTACTGAGCTATATCCCCAGCCCTTCCCCTTCAACTATCTTGAATGATAGTTTTCCTGGATATAGTAATCAAGGTGGCAGTTTTGTCAGGATTTCAAATACATCATTTCATGCCCCCCTGGCCTTAATGGTTCCTAAAGAAAAGTGTGAAAGTTTTTCTGATAGGTTTACCTCTATAAATGACTTAATATTTCTTTTTAGCTTTTCATATTCCTTCCTTATTCTGTGCTCTTGAGAGTTTAATACTTTGTGACATGGAGAAATTCTTTCCTGGCTGTGCCGGTTTGAGGTTCTAAATGTCTCCTGTACCTGGATGTCTATAATTTTCTCAAGATTGTGGGAATTATCTGTTACTTTTTCATTAAATAGATTTTCTATGCCATTAGCCTGAACCTTGGCACCTTTTTCTACACTGAAGTTTCGTAAGTTTGGTCTTTTAATTGTGTCTTAGAGTTCTTGAATGTTTTGCTCATAATTTTGGTTTTCTTCTTTATTACTGTGTGTAATAATTCCTCAGTATTACCTTCAAGACCTGAAATTCTGTCATATGTTAGATCCTGTTTATTGGTGAAGCTTTGCACTGACTTTTTGATTTGATTTATTTTGATTTTAATTTCCAAGATTTCTGTTTTGTTCTCTTTCAGAATTTCCAAGTTTTTGTAGAATTGCTCCTTTATGTCTTGCACTGTCTTTTAAAATTCATTCAGCTATTTATTTGTATCCTACTTGAAGTCATTAATAATTTTAAAAATCAGTCTTTTGAATTATTTGACATTTCCTTAATTTTGTAGTTTGCATTTAGTTACTGATAAGTTTTGGACTGTGGGAGAAGTTCTGTTGCCTTGTTTTCTCATACTTCTTCTGTTTCTGTATGGAGATTTGTGTACCTGTTGGAATGGATCTCTTCCCTTTTTATTTGAGGATCATCTTAGTGTCCAACTATTTTTTCAAGGCTTCTCAGTACCCTGGTCGAGACTAAAGATCAAACCACAGTAATGACAGTGACACAAAGACAAGCCAGATATTGACATACAGTAAAAACCAATAAAACAACTGTACTATCATGAAAAATAGAAGTCAGTAATAATACTATAGAGCAAAAGGTTAAAAATTAATAAAGATTAAGAAAAATAAAAATTTGATGGAGTGAAGACAGAAAATGAGAGAAGTAAAATTTACTATCAAAAGATAGGGAAGCTAAGAAGGAGGAGGGGAGTAAGATAAAAATCCAATTAACAAATAAAATAAATAGAACTATGTAAATAATGACACACAAAATAAAACCCAAAAGAAAAGGAAGAAGAAAAAATGAACCTGCAAAACAAACAAAAAGACATGAACCCCTCAATGTTCTCCATACTGAGGTATTTGTGTGGGTAATTTCTTTCCAGGACCTGTAACAAAACCCACTGGGTGTAGAAGAAGGATAATGTCTTAGTTACTTTTCTTACTGCTCTGATCAAATATCGGACCCCCATAGTTAGAGGGGGAAAGGTTTATTTGGCTCACAACTTGTAGAGGTTTCAGTCCATAACTGGGTGGGTGCAAGGCAGGGGGGCACATGGCAGAGGGGCAGCTGTTCATGGCGGCAGAAGACAGCAAAATCAACAACTGAGCCTTAAGAACGTCTTTCTGCCCTTTTCTTACTCCATGTTGGCTGTTGGATTAGGACAGTGCTGATCTAATCAGTGGACTAATCCAGCAATCACCTACATTTAATCCCAGCATTGCATCGCCAATCAATCACACACTCTAGGTTCAGCCACCTCTGAAAAAAACCCATCTAAAAGTGAATGAGGCTCTGGGGACAGCTGGACACAAATCATAACAGATAGGGCGTCACAACTACTGGGGCCTATTGTGTTTCCACACTCTTTGTAACTGTGTGAATGCTGACTCCTGCTTCACCTTTCCTGCTGGGAGGGTTTGGTTAGTATATTGTCCAGCTCGGGCCTATGTTCTTTCCAGAGAGTGTAATATTTATTTTCTGTTGTGCATAGCGAGCCACTGGTATTCCCAAGTAGCTTTTCAGCCTGTGGGCTTAGGCTTGTGAGATGCGCTACTTGCTCCGGAGGCCCCTCAGTCTGTATACTTAGGGATGTGACAAATGTCTAAGCAGTGACATATCCTTTACCCTGTTAGTGGATGGGGAAACCACACACACCACTGCATTCTATACTGGAAGAAGGCAGCAAAGGGAACCAGTGACCCACCGGGCCTGGTCCTAGCACTTTCACACCTAATTCCTTCAGAACCATGTGTCTGACTGTCTTCTCATAACAGAGGGCAGGACTACGTTCTCCATGGCCTGCACTCTCCACAACTTGAGTTGTCTTTTCCCTAAAATTCTCAGAAAGCCTGCAACTAGGCCTTCTCTTCACAACAGTGTTTTGTGACTGTGTTTCACTGCGTCACAGTGATAAAGTGACTCCCGAGACCTTGAAGTGTGTCTCAAGTAATACTCCTCTCAAAGTGGCTCCTGCTTATACCACTCCTAAATATGGAGGATGCTGCAATAGATTTATTTTCCAAAGCTACCCTGCTGTTATGGTTCTGGACATCCTCCCAAAGCCTCATGCAGTCATGGGGCGACTCCTAGAGTCTATGATTGATTCATGGGTGTGAGTGCTACACCCGCCCTGAGGTGGGTAGTTTGCATATGTAAGGGAGGGAAAGAGGCTGCTTGCTGCTGCTCCTCCCTTTTGCTCTTGTTGCTTTTGCTGTTTTCCACCACCGTGAACAGTCGCCCTCTGCCATGTGCCACCCTGCCTTGGAGCCAGCTGAGTACGGCCTGAAACCTCCACCAACTGTGAGCTAAATAAACCTTTCCTTCCTTAATTCTGGGTGTCAGGTATTTTGTCTCAGCAATGAGAGAAAAGTAACCAAGACACCCGCCATATGAAAGTAGTCACTTTCAGAATAAAACCCTGCTTTTTAATTACAATTTGTAATAATCATGGAGTTTCCCTGCAGCTTCCACTGTAGTTTTCACTGAGGCCAATGGTCCTTTCCAGTTGCATCTTGTGCTTCTGGAGTCAGGTTTCCCTCCCACCCGGGAGTAGAGGTTAGGGGCCCAGACTTCTTTGTTCTTCTCTTTACATTGTCTTCTGTTTATCCATATTTTTTACTTTTTCTGTCAGCTTTTTCTTGGTTCATGGGGCTCACACTCTCTTTGTTCTTGCTAAATCGTTGTTTTCCAGGTGTTCTAATTCTTGGTCCTGGGAGGCTGTGATCTGCCACTGGCTTCTGTTCCACCATCTCCCTTTGCTGGCCACTTTCCATGTACTCAGAAAAAAAAGAGCATGAAGATAAAACTAATGCATGGCTTAGAAATCATAGAATTTGAAGAAAAAATGCAAGGGCATAATAAAAGCAAGACAGAAGACTACTGAGGACAATCTTCAGAGCATTAAAAAATAATGCAATAATAAGAATAAAAAGAATGCTGAGAAGCATGCACCTCTAACTACATGCAGAGAAACATATTAATGCAAAGATAGAGGAAACATAACTGTAAAGGCTCATTAATATTTTCTTAAAACAAGATGCCTGGTGGATTCTTGAGTTTTGGCTTAGACAAAGTTTTCCTAATCTGTCATAAGACACTTTTTTTCAAGCAGTCTTGCCATTTTGGAAAGCATTGGATAGAGAAATAGTCTTCAAATCCAGTGAAGACTCATTTGTGCTGTTTAAGTTAACTCCCACTGGAACAAAATCATGGATCTGGATATATATGCCGTGTTGATATGTCACTGTTTAGAATGGAAAGCTTGGGTATGTTACCGAGTAGCCTGCCTGCCTGTGAATCACCAAAATAATTTGAAATGATAAATGAAGACCTTCCTCTTACACCCACTCTTACTGGGGTTTGGGCCCTTCCTCCACTTGGTGCTCAGGTACATGCCCTTCACATGCAGATTATGCTGGACAGAGATTCCTGTGCTTGTGGCAGCATGCGGAATTAGTTGCCCTTCAAGCTTAGGGCAACAGTGAGTTTTACACAGGAATGAAAGTTCTCAGAGTTGGGTTTCAGGGTGACCTTACTGTTGTTGTTGACTGAAAT